AATAAATATATCGGTTGGGGGAAACAACTGGAAGCTACCTCATCTAATGTGGTACACAATTTCATCCATTTAATGTTATAGCTCTGGTTTTAGTATTTAATATATGTTAGCAGATAGTATAATATAGTTATCTAAGTTACCCTCCCACCTGGGCATGATCTATCTTGGCATACTTGGAAGTCTCTGAATAGGTTGCCGATTCAAATCGACCGAAGCAAGGAGAGCATGCACAGGTGGGGTAATCTGATCTCAAATTTGGGAATTATTTTTTTAATGCCAAATCCACCTACCACTACACGGAACAACCAGACCAGAACCATTTTAGAAAATTTCGTTTCTCAAATTTATCCCTCCGGGATTCGGATCCGGGAGCTCTTAAGTCTCGTTCAGCCACCGTCACGTCATGATTATGAAACTCAATAGAGGCATAAATAGATATGGTGCCAGTATTCCCTGGACGTGCCCTTCCACAAGGAGCTCTTATTGTAAGTTAAGTTCTATTTAAACCTTCAGCGCAAATGTTGAATGTACCGATTTGACAAAAAAACAACAGATTATGAATATGCAAAACCCGTTTCGTGACCACTTTTTAGTGTGCGTACAATTGTGAATTAAAAAAAGGGACAATGCAGTTGGCGTGGTTGCCGACGCGGCGACCCTCTTACCCTCGCCAAGTTAAAAAGCGTTCAGTAATTTGCATATGTTGTAGTGGCGATTTTTTGTACTAGAAAAGGATATGATAATGTATTTTTTGGTCATTGCTGCAGTGAGAAACACTTTTTTTTAAACAAACTGCGTTACAAAAAAACGTAATGAAGAAATTGTTCTCAGGATCTTGTTATAGGCAGATGGCTTAATTTTTTCTGTTTTTTTTTAAGCTCTCGTGTGATATTTGAAAAGTCGTGTGAGAACCACACTGCGGTCCTTATCATAAACAAATTAATTTTTAGCGATAATGACTTTTAAACATAATACCTATCAATAGAATCATATTGTTATAAATGTGCGCAATTGAACATTATTTTAGTACAAAAAGCAACAAGGACGGTCGTATGTGTTTATATAAATTTACAAGACTTGAAATGTCGTTTTTTACAGTACAAACAGGTTAGGAGTTGATTTTTTGTAGTGAACCACCTAGGCAGAGTACACGCGAACGGGGACTGGATGAGTGAATGGTGTATATTTGCCTAATTTCGGTTGACAATAAATATTATTAAACAGTGGGACAGTCCTCCGGCGTGTAAATCTGTAAATCATCATTAAGCCTTTTTTCTACTCCAGTATTTTAATCTGTCAATTATAATTTCATAAACCCTATCATATAGGCGCTCTTTTTAGTTCTGATCCAAAATTCTATTGTGTATGGTAACTGAAAAATTACATTAAAGTCCTGTACACAGAATTATAATGAGTTTCAGTTTTCTATCTCTGGTTTTTTGTTTTGCAACGTTTGTTTGGCTATAATCTGAATATATGAAGAGGCTGTATGGTGAAACCTTTGTCTACCATAATAAATGGGTTCAAATGTTCTGTTTCATGATTTTATTTATTCGTAGAAAAAGTATTGTATGCAATAATCTCGTACCTATTCTTAGTACGCTACATGTACTCGACTATAAGGACCTTTCAAATAGCGTCTTCCATTACGTTTCTGCCTATATAAAGGCACAACAAACACATGTTAATAAAGCCCATTTGTCATTTAATATATACATATTTTTTTTACCTGCACCAGGGTACGGTCTCCACCCCACATTTATTTTTTCAAACATAAAAACCAATAGTGTTATCTCGGGGTGGTGCATAACCAAAATTGGGGTGGCAACTTTTTTTTTTGGATCGATATTTTTCCCTGTTGCCGTTGGGGGCTAACCCGTTGGCGAACTAACAAAAGGACCCCTTCTATGTATTCATCTATTTTTTTCGTCTGCTAACGGTCGCAACGTTCATTTCGGCTCTGTTTATTAAGAGGGGTGTTTTTTGTCTGACTATACTCACGCGATTTCGGAGTCGTTTCGTACACGCAAGTCTTTCTAAACGCTATTGGTAAGAAAAATCTGGAACTAAATGTTATGTGGCCACTCTAAAACCCGCGGAATGTGTTCTTTTTCTTATCAGTAAGCTGGTGTCGGCCAGAGTTAGGAAAACGGAAGAAAGAAAACAATGGAAGTGCTATAAGCCTCGATTACTATGAGAACCGATGTCGCCAAAACTCACACATTTTTAATTTGAAACACTACAAAACCTTGATGTTGATTGGTCGTAGTTTCAAATTTAAATAGATATAACAAATTCTGGATTGTTAATATAATTTCAACTTTACTCTGTTAGCATATCGTTGAAACTACAGTGCCATTAATACCTATTCTGCCGTCCTATTAGAAAGTGCACTAAACTCGCATTTTTGATGAAGTTGAGTTAAAACATAGTCGTTAACACCAAAACAAGATCTATACTTGGCTCTCTCACGTATCAAAATTCCCATGTAATGCAGGAAGTGAAACTTCAGTAACTTAGTACAATGTAGTACTTAAACTGCAGTAAGATTAGTTACTATATGAGTTTTGAGTCAAAGGCGATGGAATTTCAGCAATAATCGCAGTATCTAATAGGTGCTGCACTTATTTTAACTGCCTCAGTGGCCTAACGGTTACCATGCCGGACTGCCACGCAGAGGTCCCAGGTTCGATTCCCGGGCCGGGAGAAATAGTTGTATGGCCCACAATTATTTCTCTCGTGAGTTTGGATGTAATTTGTGGTGGTCTATGTGTGTGTCCATGGCACCCGCGACACAGGGTTTCCCAAGTGCGGGGCTATGTTGAGTGTGTGCGTTATTTATTATTTATGTTTTACAACCTTAACAAACATGTATTTCATACACACACTCTCACACACACACACACACACAAACACACACACAAATTTCACTCACGAAACATCTTCATATCTTTCCTTTTAGATTATATACTTACCTTTTTGAAAACTAAATAAATAAATTGTAACGGGGTGGGAGCCTGGAGATCTGTAACACAGGTCTAGTTACCTAGTACGAACTCCAGACTCTCGCTTAAGGTAGATAACTTTAGTAATTACTAAGTCTTGTTTAACATATAATTATAATGTACAATCTTCCGTATATGAGAATGAATAAATAAATAAATAAATAAATAAATAAATAAAATAAAAAATATATAAATAATGTCACCTTACAATTCTCCATTCTTTTACCTGTCTATTAATATATTATGCCACCTTGCTGTAACTTGCGTAGTTTTGAAGCTAGAGTAATTTTAAATTATTTTCTCTTACCCCTTTTTTGCCGAAAACAGTTTGACACAGTTACTGCACTCTCAGTATTATTCCAAGTTACGACATTTCGTTATTATGTTGAAATTGAAATCAATGTGCTGCCATCTAGCGGTTAATTGCTGAACGACGACGGATTGGTGTTATTAATTTAATTCTCCAAAAAAGTTTTCGTTTCTTGTAATACAAAAATTATTTCGACTTACAGAGAATTGTGAATTTATTACAATAAGACTTTCTGATGATATGAAATACCACCACTGGTGTTAGCATTCCTAAAATATCGTTATAATATTGTAAATTAATATTAGGGGTTAAAGTATGAAATTGCCGTTTTATTGCAATAGGTT